AAATAAATTTAAAAGAAGTGTTTGATAGATATGAAAATGATGAAGATACAAGTGAAAATGATAAAAAAATCAAGAGGTCAGGCAGGTGAAGAAAGAAATCACGAAATGATTATGAAACAAATGAAGAGGTCAGGCAGGTGAAGAAAGAAATCACGAAATGATCATGAAACAAATGAAAAAGGTCTATATAGAATATTCCTTAAAAAAAAATATTATTATTTATATTTATTATTTATTTATTAAATAAATTATTAAATAAAATAAATTTGTTTTTATAACGACTTGAATTTTAACCAAAATTTTTATTATATTTATAATATAAAAATTAAACTCTAATATATATATTTATTTATTTAACACGCCGTAGATAAGAAGATTAAACATTTGAAGAAAATAAATTAACACATTGATAAATAGATTATATAAAGTCCGTCATTATCGTGTTTTTTTTTTTATGAATTTAAATCATGACGACTTTTTATAATTTAATCTACTTCTTCCATAGAAGTTTCAACCGAAGCTTCATCAATAGGATTAATTGTTTCCTCAGCTTCCACAGCCTCTGTATCGTCACCAATATCAAGACCAAGTTTAATCATTTTGAATATTCTACCAGCAAATGATGATGGTTCATCCAAACTAAACCCTGATTGTAAAAGTGAAGTTTCAAACAACAGCCATGTAAGATCTTTAACTGTCTTGTCATTCTTGTCAGTTTCTACTTTTGCCTTGAGTGATTTAACAATTGGATGGTTTGGATTGATTTCCATAATTTTCTTTGATGCCATGTAAGATGACATGCTTGAATCACGAAGAGCTTGTGCTTTCATAATACGCTCAAAGTTAGCAGACCAACCATACTGTCCAGTCACAAGCACACAAGGTGATTCTGAAATACGATTTGACACAAGCACCTATTATTTATATAAAAATAGTTTTTATTAATATTAAAAAAAATTTCCATGTTTATTAGTAAACAAATAATAAATAAATTATTATTACCTTTTCAACTTTGTCACCAAGTATATCTTTAATTAATTTACATAACTCCTCATATTGCTTAACTACTTCTTCATGTTTTTTCTTTTCATCTTCATCTTCATCAAGCTCTAATCCTTCTTTTGTGATGCAAATAAGTTTTTTATCATTATACTCTTTAAGTTGTGAGACAGTATATTCATCAATTGGGTCAGTCATAAGCAACACTTCATATCCCCTCTTCTTGAGAACTTCAACAAATGGTGAATTTTCTACAGCTTGGCGATTTTCACCAGTAATATAGTATATTGATTTTTGTTTTTCAGGCATTCTTGTAACATAATCCTTTAATGATGTCATTTCTTCACTAGATTTTGTAGAGTAGTAACGAAGGAATTCTGCTAATTTAGCACGGTTTTGTGCATCCTCATGAACACCAAGTTTAAGGTTTTTAGCAAATGCTTCATAAAATTTGGCAAAGTTTTCCTTATCTTCAGCAATTTCACCAAACAATTCAATACACTTTTTGACAATATTTTTTTTAATGACCTTTAGAATTTTATTCTGTTGAAGTGTTTCACGAGAAATGTTAAGAGGCAAATCTTCAGAATCCACAATACCCTTTACAAAACTAAGATATTCTGGTATTAAGTCTTCACAGTCATCCATAATGAATACACGTCTAACATAAAGTTTGATATTGTTACGTTTCTTTTTGGTTTCAAACAAATCAAAAGGTGCACGTCTTGGTATGAAAAGAATTGCACGGAATTCAAGCTGTCCTTCAACTGAGAAATGTTTGACAGCCAAATGGTCCTCCCAGTCATTGCTGAGTGATTTGTAGAAAGCAGCATATTCTTCATTGGTAATGTCTTCAGGATTGCGAGTCCAGATTGGTTTGGTTTTGTTAAGTTCTTCAGTTTCTTTAGTCACCTCTTTAATTGTCTTTTTCTTCTTTTCTTTTTCTTTTTCTTTATCTTCATCCTCTACTTCTTCAATCTTAGTTTCCTTCTTTTCTTCATCTTCTACCACTTCCATTTCCCCTTTATCTGTTGCATCTTCATCATCAACTTCTTTCTCAACTTCTTTTTCAACAATGAGTTGAATTGGATAACCAATAAATTCAGAATGTTTCTTTACAATTTCTTTTATTTTTTTTTTCCTCAAGATATTCAAGTTGATCTTCTTTAAGGAAGAGTCTGATTTCAGAACCACGTTCAAGAGGTGGATTGACTGTATCAAGTGCAATGGTGAAGGAACCACCAGCAGCAGATTCCCAAATGTATTGTTCATCATCATTGTGCTTTGTGATTACTTGAACTCGGTCAGCAACCAAGTAAGCAGAGTAGAAACCCACACCAAATTGACCAATCATAGATATATCAGCTCCAGATTGAAGAGCTTCCATGAATGATTTGGTGCCAGATCTAGCAATCGTACCAAGATTATTTACAAGGTCAGCCTAAAATAATGATGATGGGTATTTGAAATTAATGAGAAAAAAATAATTAATTAATTTTACACATATTCATAAAATGTCTCACAATATAATTTGATTGATGTAGGATCAAAAAAATAAAAAAAAAATATGTACCTTTGTCATACCAATACCAGTATCTCTAATAGAAAGCACTTTGTTTTCTTTATCAGGAGTTATCCTTATGTAAAGTTCACTTCCACTTTCAAGTTTTGAAGGATCAGTGAGGGATTCATATCGAATTTTATCCAAAGCATCAGATGAATTGGAAATCAATTCACGAAGGAAAATCCTATTTTATTAGTTGGGTTGTGCAGCAAAAATATAAATATCAATACAAATTAATTTAAGTTTCTCCACATATATGTACATGTATACATAATATATATATATATATATATTTGTATATATATATATGTATATTTGATTTTATTTATATTTTTTTTTTATTGTGTTTGGTGGGGTTGTGGGATGGTGTGGTTTTTCATGTAAAATTTTTGTTTTTT